AAGCGATTTTTTCTGTGCATTTGAGAGCCGCATTTTTGAGTAGTTTTGCTTTGATATCAAGCGGGATTCCTGTGTTGTTTACACGGACGGACGGAAGTGACGTCAGCCAAGCCATGAAAAATCAACTCGATGGTTTACCWTTTTTTTTTCTTAAGTATGGTGCTCCGCGCTGGAGCTCCTCCATAACCATCGTTTTGGGACAAATTTTGGACCAAGAACAACAGCAAAAAAAAATATGTAGTCAAAGATGGATCAAAAAGTGTTTTTCAAGTGTTTCGTTCGGTTCGCCTCCTATCGGGTACTATCGGCAAATCCGAATAAGTCTTTCTTTCAGTTAGGTTTAATGTTTTATAAATAATTTATTTAAAGGTTAAATGAAATATAAAAAGGAATATACATTACGCCAGGTATTTACCATATATTTAGTTTTTCCAGTCAGCCCGGTTAGACAAAATGAGCTTAATATTGAATGTAGGCTTACATATTTCGGAAACTTTAGCCTCGTCGCCTGCAATTTTTTCTTGCTCTCAACCTGGGACTTTCGAACTAAAAAAAGTTTTTTTACAATTGCTTAATGGAATCATTTTTTACACGCAGGAAATACTTAATAAATTATAGTTGTTGGAATTGAATAAGTTTTCTGATGGTTTGAAGGTTTAAGGTATAAGGGGGGATTTTTAAAAAGCCGACACGACAATAATGACAACGCCAACAAAAATAAAAGCATTAAAACCGAAAGAAACTAAAAGGGATATGGGTACTAAACTGTCGTTCAAAGACTTTTCAAAGCATCTTGCAGTAGGTAGCGATAGGAATGCGTTAAACTGTGGCGGGTTATAAATGGGAAAAAAAATCATTTAAAAAGGTCTATATATATTCGAGTATCTTAAAATAAAAAGATAAAAAGAAAGCATTTCAGTGTGGGTAACTATAAATTTCAGGTCACCCATCCAAGTACTAATCTTCCTAAAACGTGCTTGACTCAGTTTCGTGAAAGCCCAAGTTTTTTCCACTGGGCCACGATTTCAGAAAATTAACACAACAATAGCCATGAAAACAATGCACTAGATAGACTAGAATATTTTCCACTTYAAATCRACGTGCCAGTGCGTGGCAGAGTGCAAGGGATTAGCTGTAGATATGGTCTGGGGGCCGGCTAGTCTCTCCCCTGATGCTTCGGCTAGAACACAATCTGCGTAATCCGTACACCCAAGGGCAGAGGGCCTTAATCGCCGTCATGTCCGAAGTCCATACGACGACCCAGCTGATGTCTCGGGGTATGGCATGAAGGCACTAGTTTTTTTCTTTCGTATTTTGGAATTTAATTTTGGAATTAATTATCTCATTGAAGTTGGTGGACGCGGGTTCGATTCTCACCGTATTAAAAGTTTTATTAAAAGTCATTGGTCTGTCTATTATGGGGGACATTATCTTTATCTGCAATAACAAAAAGTTATGGAATAATTTCCATTTTATTTTCGCCTGTTTTATTTTAATTGTGTCTACCTACAATGGGAGCTCCGGAGTTAGGCAGCGCCTAAATTTATGTTACTCTTCTACATCTACATCTACATTTTATTGAGTTGATAAAATCGGCAAGATATCACATCAACTACAAAACAATCTTAATCTTGGTAGTAGCATAAACCTGGTAAATTTTAACGTAATTGTTCTATAAACAAACTAAGCACTTCTTATTCTTCTGATCATCTATTCAAGTGGAATATAGCTGGTTTGACGAACCRCGTTACCTGAACGCTTACTCACCTTTCGATGCGTCTCGAGCGTTTAATTCTCGTGTTTCTCTGATATTATATATTGGTGTCTAAAGAAGTGGACGACGTCATAAGGATGTATTGGTATTAATATCTTAAGGGGTCGATCAGTAGCAAGCGACAAGTAGGACGGGTGAACCTTGTGGCATCATTTGTCGCAAACCACAAATCACAAACCGGCCACCAGCAACCTTTCTTGTTGTATATGGAAGAAAAAGAAAGCGGAAAGGAAAGGAAAGGAAAGGAAAGGAAAGGAAAGGAAAGGAAAGGAAAGGAAAGGAAAGGAAAGGAAAGGTAGGGAATGGAAAGGAAAGTAATGGAACGGAAAGTAAAGGAAAAGTAGAGGAAAAGTGAAGGAAAAAGGAATCTGAAAATAAATCAGAAAAAAAAACAAAAAAAAAACAAGAAAGCGAGCTTGAGATCGAAGGGAAATGAAAAGCAAATAAAGGACTTGGGAAGAAAGGAAAGCTAGAAAACAAAAGCAAAGAAAAAAGGAAACTATTACAGSCGAATCCATAGTATTTTCATTCGAGAGTACCAAAAATAGTATTAAAGTGGAGTGTTGCGAGTCGTTATGTGTACAAATGGCTTATTGTTTATGGTGTTATAAGACATTGAACTGAAATCAAACGCAAATGTCAAGTGAAATATTATTATCATTACTAGCCTAAAACAAAGTTGATAATAAAACAGAGAAGAAAGAACGGTACTCAAACACCATGTGACATGTTATCTGTAGATTATCTTCTGATAGCAATACTAGATTGTAGAACGTATTTTATTGACCTTTAATATCATTAATAACAGCATCGTCGCCCTTGCATTACTTCAATTTTAATTTAAAAACCTAATTGTCTTTGAAAATCTAGTCTGAAGTCGAGTTTTAATTAATCTTTTGAAATCATCAAATATCTTCTATTTTAATTTGTATTTATTGTCTGTCTAAACCAAGGACGCACACATAATATCACCTGTTTACAAGGTGTTTACAATTGTTTTCTCAGCCAATACCATGACTATTAATTCTACTTTTCGCGTGATGAAGATTTTTTACCAGATGCTTTTCGTTGTTTTTGAGATTTTTTCATTTTTTGATTTTTGATTTTTTCTTTAGATGGCTTGTCTTGAAGTGTGTTGTCATTCTGCTTTCCTATCGCCTCACAAACCTTCTCTCTTGGGTTGAACACCATTCCACCAGCACACTGTCTTTCTTCTGTTATACCATTATAACAGATGATGAACTTACTGGGATCATGGCTGCTAGTATACACGCCACTTGCTCTTTGCTTGCAAACCTCTTTAGGTTCTGGTGATAGGAAATTCAATATCAGCATTCTCTTATAATTTTGTATGATACTTCGATAGATGACAACAATTTTAATAAATAAGTGCTAGCTGGGTCTAGAATTGATGCAGTGTTTTCATTAAAAAACTGACGAGATGAAACGCATGCGTAGTAGCAAGATGAGTAGGATTGCTTCCTTACCTAACTTGGCCGTTGTCTGTTCCTTTGACACAGTCTGTTGATCATTTTGGTTGGCTTTTTGGTCAGCACTTTTCGCTGATTGTTTCTGGCCACCGGTAGCAGTTTTGGTGTTTTCTCCATTTTGACTGCTGACAGGTTCATCATTTCCTCCCTTTTCTTTGTTCGTAGCGTCATTCATTAAGTGATCTTCAGACTTTTGACTTTCTTTTACCCCATCATGACCCTTTGATTTTTGATCATTAACCACGTTATTGTTCCCTGGTTTTTTAATATTGGTGTCGGCAGATTGTTGCTCCTTCTCCTCAGCCTTCTTATTACTAATTTTCTTTCCTTTACCTTCACTCTTTTCCTCGCTGTTGGTTTTACTTTCTTGGTGTTTACCAAACACCTCACTATTGGTTGGTTGCGAGGAAGGTGAAACTTCAGAAGAAGCACTTCCTGCCTCCTGGTTATCACCACTTTCTGCAATTAACAAAATAGTATCAAGATGGCTACTTTAGACAGCACTTTAACTCATTTTTTTTCTATTGAGAGAGTACGTAACTGACCTTGCTGCACAGAAACAGTCGGTTCTTCCCCACTTTCATCCCCACCGTCATCAGCTTKCATGGTGATAGGCATGCCAGGGTATTTGCTTTGTATTTGCTTCATCGCCATGTCTTGCATCCCTGCTAATGCGTTATTCATGTTGCTGTTGATTTCATCTTGACTACCTCCAAGAACTTGCATGCCCATTGGTCCTGATCCTTTCCCCGTTCCTCCCATTGCTTTCATCCCTCCACCCATTACCGCCATTCCTTGCGCTCCACCTCCCATTCCCGTCATCCCTTGCACTCCACCTCCCATTCCCCCCATTCCTTGCACTCCTCCACCCATTCCCGCCATTCCTTGCACTCCTCCGCCCATTCCCGCCATTCCTTGCATCCCTTCTGCAATTCCTGGCATATCTTGCATACCCCCACCCATTCCTTGCATTTGATTCATTTCTCCCATATTCTCTCCCATAGGCATATCCCCCATTTCATCCATGTAGTTTTTGTGTTTTTCCATTCCCATTTGATTGCCACCATAATTTGATACAACATGTCCTTGAGGCTTGACTGATTCCTGATGTCCGTTTCCCATGATCGGAACCTTTGGTCTATGCAAACTTCCAAATCTGTCTCCACTAGTCATAGGTGAGGGCGTGTGTTGCGGAATGCCCTCTGCTTGTTTTGCTGCAGTTTTATGAAGAGAATTTGGCTGGTCGTCTTGATTTTTAAGTGCATTTGAAAAATCGTCTGCTTCTCCAGCTAAACCATTTTGCTGGCCCATGTTGCCCTCCTTTTGTTCTGGATAAGAATTGGCCATCGATGGGTTATAAAGTACATTATGAATGGCAGCATTGTCAAGTAGAGTCTTATCTACGCCGAGTAAATTGTCAGCTTCATTCATAGAGATCAATGGTGGAGCCATCTTCCTGTTTCCATACTCATCGAACTCTTCACTTCCTGCCATGGGCAACGTGTCTTCAGCTTCGTAGTTTGCGTGTTTGTCATCTTTATTGTATTGTCGGATGATAACTGTTGTTGTGTGCAGTGGTTTCCCCTTGTGATCTGATTCATTGTCGTCATYGTTGATGAATATACCACGATGCTTGGTTTCAGGTGCGAGGATTTCATCTTGAAACATCTGAGCCGCGCCTGAGGATTTTGAAGTGGGTCCTTTCAACGAATGCGCATGACAGGGACTGGAATGGAAACTGGTTTGGTTTGAATTGAGCTTATGTTACCTTGAGTACCAATAGGTTCCAATTTCATGGGTGCTTGCAACTCACTCTCATTTGATTTTCCCAGGTTATTTGGTTTTAATGCCCCCGAGTTATTTTTCAGGTCAGCCTCTAGTTGCGTAGGACGAGGAGATTCTAAAACCTGTAACGAGTTCGACAGATCGTTATTGGTATTATGTTCTTTTTGAGAAGCAGTGAAATTATCAGTAATATTACTGGATTCATCAGAGTTTTTTTGTGTCTCTCCCTGTGTAACAGTTTGCAGGGAAATGTTGATTTTTCCTATTTTTACCTTTGCGTGTTCGTGTTCTTTATCGTGACTCCCATTCGCCATTGCCGTACTTAAATCGACTGTCTCGTTTAATAAGCTAGTCTTGTTCTCCACCTTCGCTTTCATCAAATTACCGATTAAGCTTAATAACCCAGCGACTGATCCTGCTTTCTGAATGTTGTGATGGATTTTCGTACTGACAACCTTGTCTTGTTTTGACTGCTCGCCTTTCGAGGTACCCTCGCTGTAAGCATTAGATGCTGGTTGGCTGAGATCTGAATTCTGTTCTAGTTTGTTTTGAACAGTAGCTGTAGTAGTATTTACAGGTTTCAATTCATTTCCCTTGTCTGTAATCTGTTTCATCTTGTTATCAATATCTGGAATAATGTTCACTTGGTTTCCAATAACAGGATTCACTTGCTGATTCTTCTTGTTATCAATTTTCGTCCTGTTTACTATGAATAAGATTCCAAAGTTTCCTTCTTGTTTCTTTATATTCTGTGTGGTTTTTGGCTTTTCTTTCTGTTCCTTGTTCTGTTCCTGGGAAATTTTGTTTATCTTGTTAGCACTTTGTGTTATATTAGCCTCTCCGTTTTCAACGTTGGGTTTGTTTAGTGCTAAAGATCCGTTGGGATCTTCTTTATTTAACTTCGCCGTGTTTCTGTGATCTTTCTGTTTCTGTTCCATACTCGTATTGACAGCATTATCTGGGATTTTGCTGCTATTTCTGCTTAGTTTAATTGCTTTCACTAAGTTGATTGCTTCCATTATACCTTGAATCGTCGTCTGCGGTTGATGTTTCTGGTTTGACGTCATGTTCTCCTTCCCGTTCTGGGATTTTGTTGCATTTAGAACTGCAAGATTACCGTTTAAAGCTGAACTGTTTCCTCTTTCGTTATCTGCTTCTTTCTGTAAGTATATAACTTTGGGCTTTGTTTGGTAGCTACCTTTTAGCAGAGATTGAATGTTCACTGCAGGATACGACAAACCACCGTTACTGGCATCGTTCCCTTTGCTGTTTAATATCGGTTTGACCTTCGTGGATGTTTGGATCGTTCCATCGCTCACACGAGATTCTTGGACCATGACCCCCTTATCAGCTACAGTATGAAACTGGGGGTCATCTTCAAACTTGAAAGGGTTCTCGTTGGATACGCCAGTATTAAAACTCATTGGTGTATTTGTCTTTTGCAGCAAAGCTGAAACCTCGCCATTCCCATTTTTCCTCGTGTTTTGAACGTTAAACTGGGCATTATCTTCATCTCCCTGCTCTGCACTTTCAACTGCAGAGACAAAAAGTTTTCCTTCCTTTGGGTTTGTTGGGTCTTTAGTAACGAATTCCCCGCTAAGGTTAGGACCTCGAAACTGTACTTTGACCTTGACATCGAGCTTCTTATCTGGTGTCCTCTTGAATCCCTGATGGATTCTTGTCCCAGCAGCTTTTAAAAGCAATTTTCCTCTGTGTTTCTTCAGTAATTTGTTTTTCCAGTGTCTATGTCTGTKGTGCTTGTATGATCTCAATCCATTCCGGTAGTGATGATGGTGATGCCTTTTCTTATGTGGGATCGTACTTCTCTTTCTTTTCTTTGTCACCTCATTTAAACTTCGGGGCGACATGTCCCTCACTTCCATACTTTCTGCTTCAGTAGACTTGGCAACCCTGTTCCTTAATAATTTATATCGTTTTTCATTTGGACAGACGACATTTCCAGCATCGTCGCATTCTCCTTTCATAGCGTTGAACTTGAGTCCATTTTCACAATACTTTTTGAAAGATTTTCCTTTCAAGCATTCATAAATGCGCTGCAATCTACTGGGTCAGCGTACATTCCATCAGCTTTGCCTGCGCAGAACTTCTCGTCGGCCTCTAAAATGTAAGCAGATCGATAATCAATCGTATTTATATTCTGACTATATACTACGGTAGTCATAATTGACATGGCTACCTGGTCCAGTGTCCTTATTTGATTCGTGACCTTGTCCAAAACACTGAATGCCTTCGGGTGAACCACCTAAAGTAAAGAACGAAAACAGGAAAAGAGGGATGTGTTGGATAGAAATTATAAACCTTTTAAGGCCGGTTATTGTAAACATTTTTTGTACTTCTTAAAATATAAAGCTTCATAGATTTGTTAAGTCTGCTTTCTCACCACGAGTCTCGATCCCCGAGAACTGCACATCACTCGGAAAAGCTTCGTCATTCTTAAGTGTGGTAATGGTTGTTTCCAACTTCTCATTGGTAATACTTGTGAGTCTCACTTTGATTGGAAATGTTACTTTTCCGAGTCCTTCACTGGTAAAGTAGTTATCATCTGTTCTCTTGAAGCAGTACCAGTCACTTGTTACCGTGTTAAATACTTCGACTCCGGCAACAGGTATTCTAGGGGAGAAAATAAGTTACAGTGTAATGCTAAATAGCTCCTTCGGTACGTATCTGGATACAGTCAATTCAAAAAATGTTGTCGTCGAGCAACTCAAGCCTACGCGACTGGACCGAAAGGAACTCTGGGTAGTAATTATTGAAGCCGAGTTGACGGCATAATTTTATCTGACTAGTTATGCCTGGTTTACAGCACGAACGTTCGTAGGCGAGCGGGAAGTGTTGAAGGAGACGTTTTTTAAATGCCTTCATATATTCGAAATTGTGAACTGAATCATAAGTACTTTGTTTTTGTTTCCTTAAACCCAAAGACATGCATTTGATGGATTGTTTCTCGCCATTATTATCTTATTACTAGCGGGAACAATTTATTCAGAACGAACATTTAAACCGCTTCAGTGATTTTTACCCATATTTCTTTCGGTCCAGTCGCGTAGGCTTGAGCCGGTCGACGACAACGTTTTTTGAATTGACTGTATGCATACTCAAGATATCCGATCGGGAAGCATTGAATTTAGACAATAGATCTCTAGCTTTTTTATTGCATATTATGTGTCATGCATCTCTTGAAAATACGATTCTTCGTTTGAGTGTATCCATATTCATCTTAACTTGCGCAACCGTTAAACAAAAAATGATACTCTAGGGAATGACAAGTGGTCTTAAATGGCAAAACATTATAAACTTAAATAATTATTTCTAATTTATTAGAATTATAACACGCGCGCTAATTGGCTAGAAGACTATTTGAGATATAACGTGCGCGCTTATTAGCTGGCTACTGTGTCAGAGAGCATGCTCGCTCAAAATCATTCAAAATATTTTATAAAATTAAAGTACCTAACAGGGCTTCTTATGTCTCATTATTGTGATATAGGCACTCTAGGAGCTGTAAAGCGGCTTCCAGCTTGTTTCTATCACAGTACAGAGACATGCACGTGCGTTTTATATTCAGGCTTAAAAGGAGGTCTATTGAGGCTCGAATATAGTTTAAAAGAATAGAATTCCTACCCAGTCATGCTCCAATTTAAACCAACGATTAATGACAGTGCTTCCTTTGTAGGAACCCGGTRCTCTTGGACTGCACGCCAAGTTAGGAAAAGTACGTTTGAGTCTTGTAAAGGCAGCTCTAGACTAAAAGAAATCACTTACTTTGAGTTCCTTGCCTGTAGTTTGAAATACCATTCATTGCTCCCTGTAAATTTAAACTGTATGTAACCCACAGTGCCTGTGAGTGAAGGACAGTCTATTGCTTTCATAGTGATGTCCCATGCTCCATTGCCGGGTAAATACAGATCAACGTCACCTAGAAATGCAATCGACCACATGGTCAATCCAAAAAGATTTTTCAGATTATTATGCCATACAACGGAGACATCTAGCGAAGCTTAGGAGAAAATGAGAAAATGAACTAATAGAAGGAATCTCTGATATTCATACTCATAACCATCATAGGCACCGTTTGATGCTATACTTAGAATCACATTTGCCATCTTTTGTTTTTCTAAACGCCTGTTTGCTCCCGTTTTAAAATTTTCTATTTATTTTATTTTTATWTTTTTGGGAAAACATTTGGAAAACATAAGAAAACATGAGCAAAAAGCGTAGCGCCGCACAGTTCGCACATGTAGAAAAACAAACGATCAAATAAAGAATCCCAAAAATAGCATCAAACATTCTAAAATAGCATAAAAGGATACTCGTGATGGGGCACGAGGATTCCGTCTCTTAAATCATTTTCTCTTGCTGAGGTCGCATGTGCCGTATACACCTCGGGCCTGACGGCAATCGAAAGGCAAACCGCACTTACGGGTTACACAGCATAGCGTTCTAGCCGAAAATTCTATCCGAATCAGGGGTGAAACTAGGACGGTTCCCAGACCATTCTTACAGCAAATACCTTGCACCATCTGCGACGCAATTCGATGTAAAGTTTATAATTTTATTCTACTCTATCTGGTGCTATCGGTGTGTTAGTTTACTAACTTATTACAGTTGATATATGAACACAATATGACTGCCAGTTACATACTTTGTTTACAAGAGCCACACAAATCATAAACCATTCCCTTCAGGACCCCATTTACGGGGGTCGTTCCTTTGAGATCCGGCGCTGATGGATTTCCTGCTCCATGGATTTCAACACACATTCCACAGCCTAGAGACTTCTGATAGTCTTCTTTACTCACGGCTATTTTAATCCAGTCAGCTTGACTGGCCAGCGGCGATGGAGGGTCTAAAGAACAAAGTCCACCGCCTGGGTACTCACCATAAAATGTTGCCTAAGTAACGATGACATGCGTAATTAGCAACAATAACAGCTTGGCAATCATTTCAAGGTTTTTCTTGCTATTTATTAGTTCTATATTGGTCCCTACCATCTTTTGTCTGTCTGTCCACCGTCGAACCTTACCTTTCCCTTTGATGTTCTTGTGAAACGGTTGTATACCGCTTTAACATTTTCCATAGTGGTTGACCGTCTAGATCCTGTGACAAACTAATTCCAGTTCAAAGAATATAAGCGATTGGATAGATTGAATATTTCCACACAGTGCTACCTGACTTAACAACAAGTAATTGGTTGGGCAGTTTACCTTGTTCTGGTCAGCGGCTGCATAGACGAAAAAAATGACGATCACTACTGTCGTTTTCATGTTCATTGTTGTCGAATTATTCCTGGAAAAAAAGACAGCGAAAGGTTTTTTCTTGCTCTAGTTTAGTGTGCTGTAGAGTGCAGGCAGTTTGTTCTTATTTATGAGTATTTCAACCATCTACACGTCACCATCATCAAACCCTAAGAACAATCAAGAGTCAAAAACCTTTCGACCTTCAACCTGCTTTTGAGTAAACATGTTGTTCTCCTTCCTTTAATTACACCATATTTTCAACTATCGTTTACAACTAATACAAAGGTTTCTTAGACTCCAAAAAAAAATCTTATAACGTGTATTTTTTAGGTTTTTTAAGTTGACCGGCTGACATTAGTTGACAGCAACAGTCAAAATTGCACCCCAAAAAAAAACACTAAATTGCTATCAATAATTGAACACCTTAAATCCAGTAGTTATTTCAGAACCTTTACAAAAATTAGTTCATAGTTTTGATTTTTTACTTTAAAGTTCTCTTAAAAAATTCAAATCCATTTTTTGTAGTTAATTTTGTATTTTCTTCTTTTAAGGCAAATTGGATTATTAGTAATTAGATATTAGTAAAATAAACATGAGAGCGTCGTTCATCAGTGAACTAATTATCTCAAAACAATAGACGATAATTCTTGTCAAGCAAAACAATTTGTCTCGTATTGTCAAAAATACACAGAGAAACATTTATGCTAACACCCCACTCATTACTTAATTGTCATGAGAAAGAAATGTTACAGCATTCATTTATACAGGGACAATACTGAAATTTTTTGTTCTCCTTCTAAAGGCAGTTTTAAGATACGACATCATTTTGACTTAATTTATTGCGATAATATTGTTCTATATTATTACTTATATATTGCTGCTCTTTAACGTACCTTAAATTCTTTAGTTACAATTCATCAATTGCAAAAAATCAGTTTTTCTCTGTGTTTGATTGTCATTCCATGTCTCTACGTCGACCCGCCTGAAGTGTAACTCGTCTTGAAAAGAGTTATGGGTAATTTGTGGATATTTTTGACAAAGATTCCCATCATGCATTGCACTTACATTTGTAAGAAATCCGCTATTACCAAAGAAACACAATGCATTTACCTTTTTTCTAATGCAGATAGACCGTTATCACCGTGATTAACGTAGTTACCGTGTCTTTTTCATGCTTTTTCATTCTTTTCAAAAATCAACGAAATATGTGAGGAAAAAATACAATTATACACAGTAATATAAAAATACTCGAGCAAGGGAAGCTAGTTCTGTTAGGTAAAGGGCCAAAGGCAATATGAGTATTGTTGTTTATTGCGTTCTGATATAACTTGACTAAGCTTGACTAAGCAATTATCCCTTTATCTTGAATTTCGTCTTTATTCTGATATTCAGGCCTAAAATCATACTCGACTACATCTTGGTAAATGTTTACCAAGACACAATAAGAACAAGAAGATACAACAAACAAGCAAATCGATGGACAACTAGAATCCTAAATAATTATGAAATTTCTGAAAGTTGGATATAATTCATATTTGTAGTTTTTTAATTTCCTGCAGATATCATATTATGTAATGTTCAATATCAAGGTCACAATAAAGAAATACGTAGTTCGCTTTTTTTTT